CTGACTGATACCGAATGGCATTTGCCTAATTCTTTCTTCTCTAGTAATTATATTATCGATTATATTATCTGGACTATTATCAAAATATGTGTATTAAGTACTATAATTTATTTGTGTTTATAGCTCTTTTACTATTAGACTAATTATTAATTGTCAGAATTAAAATTTTTTAACTTACTTATTAGTATTTAACAGTATTCGTAAGAACTCGGAATAACATTTTTATTATTACGATTATTTTACATGCAAAGCTTAATATTCCCATTTAAACAAGCACTGCCATCACATTCTTTTATATTATCTAAAATCAGCGCAAATACAACTCAAACATATTGAAGTTAGTCCGGCTCTGGTTCAGCAAAAAATACCTTAGAACGACAACTGTGACTATCGCCCTCTTTTCGATAGTATCCAAACTATAGAAATGTTGAAATACGAAGGATTTCTTCAATTGCTCGGCATGAAAAGATGACGGATAATATAAAATATCAGAACACGTACCTTTCCTGTTTTGTCCAATTGATTTATAAAACTACTCAATAATTCTTATTAATTCATGTATAAATAGTATCCTAAAAGCATTCTGCTGGGTGTGGGTATGTTTATAATACCGTACGCTTTTATCTGTATGTTCAACAGTCGTGGAAAGTTCAGGAAACGTAAGATAAAAAAATATTTTTTTTTTTTCTTACTTAAAATGTGTTGTCAGTTATCTCACACCCTGAAGAACACTTGTATGAGTCGTACAGTGAAGAGATATCGTTTTTAACTTGCTTAGATTTTTTAAACAATTGGACAAAAAATTCATTGAAAATTGCGCATAAAAACGCCCCCCTTAAGATCACTTTTTTATGCTCTTTCCGAATATCGTATCGGAATTTCAAAAAAAGACATACAGAGTGTTGTTTTCTAGACTTGCACAAAAAATTAACAATTTTTGCAGTCCGGACCTGGATTTTTTTTGCTGTTATACATGCATACATGAAGTATCGTGAGTGCATTAACCCTACCAAATATGAACCCATTATTCCATTCCCTACCAAAGTTATGACATAAAGCAGTTTTGACCAAAAATCATAAATCACCCTGTACCTCAATAAAGAATGGCCAAGGAGCTATTTGTATAGGCGATCCTAATTACCCTAGATGTCCTCTATCTCCCATTAAGCCATGTACCTCTCGTGATGCAACACGCTGTATATTAGAACACCATTGCTTTGTTCTGAGCATAAACACATACCTAAAAGTGTGAATTTAAATGAACAATGGATATCAATTTTGTTAATAAAATTTGTGTTTTTTTCTGTAGGCAATAGTTATTTTATTTATGCAAAATCTCGCAAGTAAGATGTTCTTACCTTTTTTCTATCTTCTGGAGGCACGCTTGCATGGGATCTGTTTCTAAAGATGTCCATTACCTTAGTCATTGGACTTTTTGTTAAAGTAGCCGCAGTAACGGTATGGTAATACTGTACATCAGAGCCACCATCTCGAACTGGATGAGCAGAACCATCTCTCGGTGCTTTTGGTCGAGGCTGTATAGAACTATAATGCTGAAATTTATACATGGTTAAAAATACTACTCTAATCAAATAAAAAAATGATTAAAAAATTGTATAGAGTGATTGATGATGATGATTAATTAATTGATTGATTATGATAATGATTGATTGCTTGATGATGATGGTGGCGGTAATTGGTGGTGATGATTGGTTAACGATTGACGGATAACGGACGATGACGGATGATGCCGAGTGATAAAACGTAATGGCGGGTGATGACGTATGATGACAGGTGATGACGGAAGATGACGGATGACGACGGAAGATTACGAATGATGGCGGAAGATGACGGATAATGACTAAAGATGAGGATGATGATGATGATGACGAAGGATGATAATGACAGATGATGACGATAATGATGACGGATTATGATGATGAATGATGATGACGGATGATGATGATGATAACGGATGATGATGATGAGAATAATGATGACGGATAATGATGATGACAGATAATGATGCTGACGGATAATAATCATGACGAATGATGATCATGACGGATGATGATGATCATGACGCATGATGATGATCATGACGGATGATAACGATCACGACGGATGATGATGATCATGACGGATGATGATGATCAAAGACCTCAGAATGACTAGACAAGTAATTCCCTATACATTGCAAAGGAATTGTTTTGATTTTCCACAACTTGAGACATCCTGCTATTAAACAAGGATGAAGATAGTTCTTTGTTTACTAGGGAACTCTTAACCAGTGGCGTGTGTGTTAAAAAGGGTGATATATTTTAATATTTGTCTAATTTATATATACTTACCGATTTCACACCTAATTTGATTTTAAAATAATATTAATGACTTCCTTTTTAAATGAATAGAACCATGTTCGTTTTACTCCATAACGGCTCTTACTGCCAAAAAAAAAGTAATACTAGTTACAACAATCTTTATTTTCTCAGTAACAATATACATCAATATGTTAAATAATACTAATTAATAAAAGTTTTTACCAGTTCAAATAGGAATCACAATAGTATTTTACGTTACAAGTCCGGTATGTGACTTATTACATTACGAGTTGTTTTACGGACGAGGCGACGTAGGAGCCGAGTCCGGAATAAAAACGAGTACTGTAATAACATCTAACGGCCGTGTATCGTATGATATTTTATTTCATACTGTCTTTCCATTTTTAACGAGCAGAAATTTCTATTTTTTCCTTAAAATTATCAAATTTTTGTTTGACATCGCTTGATCTGTCATTTTATATTATCAAATTTTTGTTTGACATCGCTTTATCTGTCATTTTATAATATTGTTTGTGACATGTCTAATATCACGTTCCTAGGCAACATTTACCGGCTCTGATACTGTAATAGCTCACTTACCGGCTGCAAATGAATCCGGGAAATAGCAATATACCGGACAGTATGAAATAAAGTTAGTTACAGTTACATATAGTATGGTAGCTATATTATACTTGTATACAATAATATGCATATCAAGTAGGACAATTAAGTGATAAATGAAAGAGAAATAGTAAATGGGGTCATTACACATATTTTTAAGTTCTTTAATTTCTTAAAACAGATTTATTAGATCTAATTTGTTATGGTGGCAATTGATACAAAGTGATCCCGAATTATGTGCAAAAAATTGTTTATACAATTTTAATAGGGGTCCTGTATTTTGACTAAACGAACTTGGGAACTCAGGAACTGCTGTGTCCTTAAGATAAACTCGGCAATAAGGTCTTATTAAGAAATCACTTGATGTGAAGTGATCTGAACATACAACATCTTTAGGAATATTTTCCTTTCCTATACATCTCAAAATGCGAGAGAACCAAACGTCTCCGAGTTCAACATTCGAAGGAATCCTAAAATCAAATTACCTAGGTATATTTCCTTTTAAATAATGTTGCCTTTGCAGTTCATGTTACTTTTTATATAACCGTAACACACAATTCACGTTTTAAAAAAATATTTTATATTTTCAATATTATTGCACTGAAAATTTTCTATTTCAAATTTTGTTTTAAACTACCGTTGCTTCTGTTATCTGTTACGCCCATGGTAAATCTACCTACCTGTGAAAATATCGATTGCCTCCACTTTTAAAGCGAAATCTACATATAACACAATATTTTCCCATTGTCTATTCACAAAAACAATAAAATCTGCCAAAAAAAACTAATAATCCACGGTAAACACAACGTTAAACTCACTAAGCACGCAAAGAATTAATGGCGGCCGACAGTCGTAAACAATAATAAACATCCAGCATAGAGCAGGTACTGCGCGCGCACCTTACCACATGTCTTTAGCCAATAGGAGGCTGAGTTCTCAAAATATTTACAATAGAACAAAACAAACCAAGACAATGCACTTTCTATCTTTTCTGAGGTCGTTGATGATGATGATGACAACGTCGAGCACGAACGACAACGAGAAAGGCGAGAACGATGATGACGATGATTACGACGATGACAAAGACAACATGATGATGGATAATGATGGATGGTGATGATTGATTATTGATGATTGATGGATGGTTGACGATTGATTGGATGATTGATAATGGTGATGACGGTAATGACAGTTGGTGATGCTGATTGTGATGACTGGTGATGCTGATGGTCATGACTGATGGTGATGACTGATGGGGATGCTGACGATAATGACTGATGGTGATGCTGATTGATGGTGATAACCAACGAATTCTAACCACTAGAAGGAGAAAGGACTTTGTATATTCTTATACATGTGTTTTAACTGTAGCAAACATCTAAACAGAGAACTACCTAATAAATAAAGATAGAGTGTCAAATGTAAACAATGAGACACAACGGCAGTGGCGTACTGTCAAAAAAGGCAAAATATTAAAATTTACAAAATACCAATACACATTTGAAAGGATTACTCATTTTATAAATAATTTTTACATATTGGTGATATAATGAGACGGTAAAAATTGAAGTAAAATTAATAAACTGTTTTTACTATACTCAAATTGTTTTGACATCAATACTTTTATCCAACACTTGTATATAATGATACTATAATTTCTTTGGTTTCAAAGGAATAATGTGGCCTATAAGTCACTAGTGAGTTATAAGTCATAAGTCACTAGTAAGTTATGACATAAAACCCACTAGTGACTTATAGAAATCATAAAAAGACAAATGTTTAGTGTATTTTTCTAGTTTTTATTAGAAAACCAATTTGAAACAGTAATAAGTTAACAAATAACCTAAAATGCTACAAACTTAGAATCTACCTACTTATTAATATTAACATTAACATTTATGGCCGTAATGTAATATTTGAAGGAGCACCATCAAAAGTAACAGAAACTATTTTGATACCTAATTCATTTAAAAATTCTAAACATTTTTTTAACAAATTAGCTTTTTCTCCACCACTTAAACCGTTTGTCAAGAAGTACCTAACAGGTATTTTCCAATGACTATTTATAGACACAACCATAAAAACAAGGGCTTCCGTAGCTTTTGGAATATTATCCCCATATACTTCAGTGCCGACATCAACATATCCAGTGAATCGTTTCCCATTCCACTCAACACTTTGCATTATAGACGTTTCGTCAAATACCAAATTGCCCAAAATTTCACTGTTTGTTTCTCTTTCATTTTAATAGCAACCAATGCTTCATTTGTAAATCCAGGTGTTCCATCTATAGATCTGTATCACTTAGAAATTGTTTTTGTATGTGGCAAAGCCATGTTAAAACTTCTTGCATAATTATAAGCATCTGTTGAATAAAAGCTTAACGTTAAGGCAAACGACCTAAGCTCAGGTGAATACTTTTTACGAGATTGTCATTTTCTTGATCTTTGACAGATTTCACCTAATATCGCAGGTGCTGATTCCTAAAATTACATATTGTTTACAGACACAGAAAGAATAAGTATTTTTCAACTTACCTACGTGAATGATACATTGAGCAGTTTATGTTGTCATATTTCTTTTTCAAAAATTTCAGAAGAAAATTAAGGCTACAAATTCTGGCTTTTAGACGACTCTTTGCCTGCTGCTGACTTCGGATCTTTATTGTTTGCATTTTTATTTTTTGCTTACAAATACCTACTACAACTTTTTCTTCCTCTTTTTGGACTATCCATGTTAGAAGTATGGCATTCTCCAAAATATCGTGGATAAGGCCTTTTCCTAAAAATGATGAATTATCTATTCCAGATGTATTTTATATAAACACTTACGGTAGTGATTATATAAAATTAAATGGTAATATATAAATAGGTAACAGGTAGAATTTTCTTGGTATTTTTTAAAATGTACTGAATTAAAAAAAAATGTTAGATGGGTAAGCAGATACCAAAATTATAGGGTATTAATTGTAGAGTAGATACTATACAAAGGATATATAATTTTTTAATTATATTTTTATAACTTACTTCACGTTTATAATTTTATTACAATTGGGTGAATCCATTCCTATTTCTGATGCGGAAATTGTTGATCAATGTTTTGGTACGGTGTCACCAAATTTCAAATATATTTCAGAAAGATCTGTAGCCTTATTTGTAGTAGATAACAAGCCTGATTGAGCACTCAGTGTCGATGACGATGAACATGTGGATATATTTTCTGGTTTTTGTTGCGGCAATGCAATGACTGTTCCGTAAGAACATCATTTAGAGAAATATTTTCCTTATTAGAACTGTGATCTATAAAAATTAAATAAAAAGGTAAAGAGGTACTAGGTAACTGTAAAAGCTTTTTACTTGTATATTTTAATCTATATAAAAGTTATTTTACCTGCTATAAGTAGAAGCTATTATTGGAATAGCTATCCCTCACAATCACAAAATGATCAGAACAAAAATGTTGTCGGTAATACACATCACCTAGGGAGAGCTTCCACAAGTTTCTCCGTTCCAGATTCTTAGGAAATCTAAAAAATACAGGTATTACTCATAATATACTTATAATATTACTGAAACAGGAAAAAATCAGTTGAACAATTAAAAAATATATATTTTTAATAATTTAGATAATGATTTATATAGTCAGTATTTTATCACTGCTAATTAAGTACTAAATGTAAAACACACTTACGTAATTCCTCAAACGCCGCCCATGTTGCTTGTTTACTTACCTGTCAGAAGACCGCTGCTCGCCCTTTTTAAATAAAACTTTACAAATAGCACACTTTCTAACCATGTCTTAGCACTAAATAAATGTCCATACATAAAAACTACACAACAATAAGAGGAAAATGCCACACTAAACACAAATAAATTCAAATACGTTAATAGTGGCTACATACTTTTCCTTTGACAGATGTCATCGACAATCATCGAAATGCGGACGTAGGCGGGAATAAAATTCGACCAATAGAAATTTGTGTCTCCTGAAGATCTGATTTATTTATGTACATTCGCAAACAAATACATCCAAAGCTCCTTCTAGTGGTTACAATTCGTTGGTTATGACTGATGGTGACGCTGATTGATGGTAATGACTGATGGTAATGGTTTACAAATAAAGGAACTTCTGAAATATCTCAGAAAACAAAATTCTGTATCCACCTTAATGAATACATACTGTGTAGAAACAATTTTGCCTTTCATATGCATACCTTTTCCTTTTTTTTCTCTTTCTTATCCTCTTCTAAAGGTGATGGCACTGGTGGTGACAGTGGTACATGTGGTTTTCTGAAAATATCCATAACCTTAGTCATAGCACCGCGATTTGAGGATGCAGTAGCTGTAACAGTGTGGTAATATCTAATATCACTTTCATCATCATGAACAGGATGAGCTGATCCATCACGTGGTGTTTTTGATTTAGCATGCATGAGCCCTGTGTGCTGAAAAATACAGGAAAACAATTGCATTAGTAACTATCACAAGAATTAAAAAAAATTATAAAGTTTTTATGTAAACTAAATAATAGTAAAGTATTCCTGGCCTAATTAACTAAAAATTAGAGGTTATTCTTCTAAGGCAAATTTGGATATAAACAGGGTATCTGTAAGAGAATCGGTCATCCTTTAAGAGTAGCTACCTTGAGGTTGCTTCTCTGAAAAGGTGCAAGTCTTATTTTTTTTTAAATATAACTGACTTATAATTAAATTCAATGGTGTCGTATTCTTTGACCTTTGCGTAGTGTTTGATCGACATGGGTCCTCGGTGGAGACATCGGGAGTTCTAATCGAGCCCCACGTTGGGCGCCCTGTCGAGTTCTTTGATCTGAAGTGCCTAATATTTGAAAATTGTGAGGGGATTCAGCAACGTGAGCTCGCCGCGAGGACAACGAAACTGAGCTTCGAGCCCCACGTCGAGCGCCATGTCGTGAACTATGATCTGAATTATGGGTTTCCTTGACCTGGGTCCGCGATAAAGACGCCCGGAGTTCTAATGGATCGTCACTTGGGACGCCAGGTCGCATCAGATTTTCAAAGGACTGTGGTCTGTGGTGGACATGGCCTACAGACGTGGTGTCTAGGACATGAACTCGTGGAGGAGATCTCGACGAAGATGGTCGAGCCCCACGTCGAGCGCCGTGTCGGGTTAGACTTTCTAAATAGGGACAACTTAGGGGTCATCCATAAATTACGTAAGGGTATTTTTTCACATTTTCAACTCCCCCCTCTCCCCATGTAAAGAAACCGTAAGATTTTTCATAACCCCCCTCCCGTAATACGTAATACATTACATGATTCAATTAATTTTTTTTATTATAAAAAAAGCTTTACAACTTCTAATTATAACATTTATTAATACATTTGTTATATTATAAATACATATATACTAATAAAAAAAGTCTCAAGCAAATTTGTCTACACTGCCATCTACGGATTATGTAGATTATTTTATTACGTAAGAATTTCATTCCCCTTCCTCCCCCCCAAGTAAGGAATGATAAGAAAATGTTGAGCCCCCCTCCCCATTGAACACTTACGTAATTTATGGATGACCCCTTAGGCGGTGATCGAATGTTCGGGGGAAATCATGAGAGTGGACGACATAGTCGGCTAAGGGGTTTTCGCATGTCATGGCACCCGAACGAGATGCGCATTGCTCCCGCTGGGTACCATTTCGTGGAAATGCTGTGTACTGTATCGCCGTCGCCAACGGCTCCACGTTCCGGAACACCCGATATCGGAGGTAGGCCGCTATCGGGGCCGGACCGCGAACCGTGGTTAGGCCCATGGGATTCCCCGGACCCTACCAGTTGGTACGTAGGTATAACCTCGTCCCGAGTATTCGTGGGAGACCCACTTCGTGATAACTCTGGCATGCTACTCGTCTCCGTGGACACGTCTTGAGGGATACTCGAAGTGGTATCGGTAACTCGTGTAGTCGCGGACCTCAGCCTGTACGGCACTGTGGCGTCGCCGTGCTGCGTACTACTACGAGTTACCACCTTCGGCTCCTTAGACTCTCCACGAAACACCGAGATAGAGTTTGTGGGGAACGAGGTCTCGTCCAGCTCAGTCTTGATCAAAGAATCACGATCTGATTTGTTTGTTGTACCTTCGAGGGCACCAATCCTCGTAGCACTGGATATCGATGTCGCGTCGCAGGGGTACATCTTACCCCGTACGACAATGTGGGAGCAAGCTCTTTTGCTCCGAAATTCTTGTAGAAGTCTTGTAGAACACTGACTCTACTTTAAATGTGGGTCTCTCGAGGGAGCCCTGAGAAGTAATGATACTTCTTTAAATTTTGGAGTACGCCGCCTCAATGACGTGCGTACTATTGCTTTGTGCCGGTAGGTCGCAAAGAAAATGCCTCGTAGGGGTTTGACTAGGAAGGTTGCCTCGACGAGGGACCGCCTAGAGGTTTGACGAGGAAAGTTGCCTCGGATTTGCAGATCTCGATAAAGTCTGATTTATAGGACTCGTAGGAGCCTATGTGTGTACCGCTGTACCGAGGTGCGGGTCTCTCGATGGAGCCGGCACAATCGGAGTCAAGGTCTTCGTCGGAGGTTCTCAGCCTCGGACGGTATGCAGGTCTCTGAATGAGACTGAATGTATCACTGTTTCGATGCAGGGGGCTATCGAACAGGATCTTCGCTTCAGGTTGGGCTACCTCGGGCGGTACGCAGGTCTCTGGAGGAACCTGGGGTATCGCTGTGTCGATGCAGGAGGCTGTCGCACAGGATCGTCGTCGGAGGTGGTCAGTCTCGGACGGTATCGCAGGTCTCAAAAAGGATCCTGGAATTTACCACTGTTTCGATGCAGGGGGCTATCGAACAGGGTCTTCACCTCAGGCTAGGCTACCTCGGGTGATATGTCTCGTGAAGCGAGTACTGGTTACTAGGCACTAAAAATATCCGCGTCGAGGAATGGCAGCCTCGACGGGAGTCTCGTTAAGCGAGCCTGTGAGCTTGAGCTCCAAAAGGTCTTGAATTTGATGACAGGGTTTTTTCAATCGCACCATGTACTCCCACTGAAGTACTGCGAACGCCGGAAGTTGACGTTCGATCTCTTTCCTCCGATCTTCATACTTTTGGCGGACCGCTCGTGAATCGTCCGCCAAAGTTTCCAGTAAAAAGCGCTTGTCGCCGCTGTCGACGTCGGATCTCGTTCCCATTTGGCCTCTCCGGATAATCGATGTCGGCATCGGAGATTTTGGAGTTTTCTCCCATTTTGAGAAAACTCTGCCCGCGGTCTCGTCTTAGGCTACCGAGCATCGCATCCAACCGCCAGAGCGGTGGGACCCTCGGGACGGTCCTTTCGGCCCAAAGACGGGGAAATTGGAAACATCGGTGAAATTTTCCCCATCTTCGTAAAAGGGCTTACGGAGGTCTTAATACTGGATGGATCAGGTTCAGAAGTGGTATGTAGGTGCACGGTAGGAGTAGTACCGTGGTTGGAGGGTTCGGCCGAGATCGCGCGGACACTTTCGGCGGCAGCTAGGAAGACGTGAAAACCTATTATGGCTTAGCTGGCCGTTAGTAGTCGCGCGATTCGGCTAAAATTTGGATATGATAACCACCTAGGGATACTCTAGTGTGGTTTTGAGGTTCGGCCGAGATCGAATGAGCGGAACGGCTAAAAACGCGGAAAACGTAAAATCCGCGTTTCCCCGTATAACGGCGTTTTGGCTCATCCGATTCGGACGAAAATTTAGTGAGGTACTGCCATCAACTTGATGAGTGCTGCATTAAATTTTGGCACCGATCGCTCAATAACTTTTCGAGTTATTGACGATAGCGTCTTTGACCAATTCGAAAGGTTAGTAAAATTTTAGATAGTAGTTTCCAAATATCGCCTTGAAGCGTCCTGGGGTTCGTCTGCAGGTTGCGAGAGTCGCTGCAGCGGATACTGAGCGCAGGGATGGCAGACCCAGGCGAGATTGGTCGCGATGCGGGCGACATTGAAAATTGGTATTGGAAGCTATCGCCGGGAGGATCGATGTCATGATGGGCGACGTCCGCACTAAGATGCAGAGTTGCGGAAATTGCTCTCAGGCGGTATCGAGTTCAATGTCTGAAATGATACCGTGGAGGCTTTTTTGATTTTCCCGGCCGACAGAGATTAGTTTTACGACCCTGGCGGGTTTTTGGTTTGGATTGGAAAGGTAGGCGAATTTGAGTTGATTTGACTCCTTCCCAATTCAACGGTCTCAGGCATATTCGTAGGTACAAGACGACTTCTAGGAATATACTGAGTGTTCTGAAATTCTGAAGCTTGCTCGAAGGGTGGAATACGACAATGGTGATGGTTAAATTTTACCACCTGGCCAAGTATATTTCGAGGTTATATATGTTTTTGTGTTAGATATCCAAGATTTTTTAAATGATTGGTGTCTTCAACATAATAAAAGTTTTAACTAATGTAATAAATCATATCAAAATTATGGTAGTTTTTTTTTTAAGTTTTTATAATACAGGGTGTCCCGAAATTAATGCAACAAAATTTGATCACAGAGTCTTAAGACAAATTTAGGAGACCCGCATTTTTTGTTTTTGCCAAGTGGCCTCCTCTTTCGGAGTTACAGCCCCCTGAAATCCACCTCCAAAAATAATCTTTTTTTATATTTCAGAACTCTATTGTACGAGAGTCATTAAATTTGGTACACAGGGGTTTTATGACATGTGGAATCTGATGATGCTACGCTTTTTGGCGGGGAACCCCCTTAAGACAATTTTTCGTGGGCCCCCTTTTCTGGAGCTAAAAAAAATTTGTTCGCATATTTAAATTCCTTAAAAATTATTAGTCCGCTAGAAAGCCATTAAATTTAGAAACTTTTTTGTATCTTATTATTTTTTTGTAAAACGTAATGTTTTCGAGAAAAATATGAAAATGTGATCGAATGCATATTCGATTCGCCCTTTTCCTCAAAAACATTGCGTTTTACGAAAAAAATATCTAGGGACAAAAAAGTTTCTATACTCAATGGCTTTCCAGCTAGCTAATAATTTTTAAGAAATTCAAATTTGCGACCAAATTTTTTTGGTTCCAGACAAGGGGGCCCACGAAAATTTGTATTAAGGGGATTCCCCGCCAAAAAGAGTAGCACTATCAAATACACTCACGTCATAAAACCCCTGTGTACCAAATTTAGTGATTCTCGCATAACGGGGTTCTGAGATTTAAGAGACAATTTTTAGGGGCAGATTTCAGGGGGCTGTAACTCCGAAAGAGGGGACCAAATTTTGTTGCTTTAATTTCGGGACACCCTGTATATACTAATAACGAAAAGTTCTATTTTTAAACTTGATAATTTTTGCTCAAATCTCTTTGTAAGTAATATTTATACCAATTTATTGTTATCTAGACATGTAATGTAGTTTCTCCTGAAGAAGGCACAATTAAAACCCGAAAGCTCGAATAATAAATAAATATATATAT